ATAATGAAATGAATGAACAGAACAGCAAATGGAAAGCTTTCATTCCTAATCATTTTATATGCTTCGTTCTTTTTTCAATAACATTGTGTGTTTGTCTTGAAAGCTAATTCTACAACAAATTATGAAGAAAATACGTAAAAAAAACATCAAATGCAAATATGAGAAAAGTCAAATTATAATTCAAAACCTATTAACTCGAAATCAAGTAACCGTAGTTCCAGTTTCGTCAAGCTTACCAGATGCACATCAGTGCCACTAATCCCGCGAAATAATGCTTTTCGCATTTTGAACACAAACCTATTATCAATAATTATATTTCATTAATAATTATATTCCTGATCGAGTAATTATGAGTTAATTAATGAACACTTATTACTGACGAACTTTCATTTCTACCATTTTACACGTATTAGTAAAATATTTTGTAAATTTTATTGTAAAAATTACTTTTCTACTCTCACTCTGCTTGCATCATCAACAGTGTGCTATTTCGGCTGTTCATCGTTTTTCTCGTTCTTTGTTATTTCTTATTCATCAGTGACATGTTATTTCGTCCGTTTATTATTCTTTTTGCTTCTTCAAATTCTGTACTATCTTCACACCAATGGTTTACTATTCATTCCTCTAATTCTCATTCAAATTCATTGTTTTTAGCCATTGCCTGAATTTGACCGGAATAGCAATTGCTAGATGGTTGAGAGTTTATATATTCCGGAACAGCTCATTTCAAGTTTAGGTAAAGATGAACAGTTCAATAGCAGGAGCGTCTCTGTATATGATTCTAAGACGTATCTTTAAATCAGATTAGCTTTCAACAAGTTTTCCCACAATCTCTTTTGTATATTTTTTCAGGATGAAAGCGGATGCGAAAAAGAAATTGGTAAAGAAAGCTACGAAATTGATCAATACGGAGAATGCGATCGATGGCACCACACGTTTTGAAAACATTGCAAGGTTATTCTTGGTACCTTTTCTTTGTTGAATAAGCGTTGATTTTTTTCTTGGAATGAATTTTAAAGCTTGGAAAAAAAAACGCATAATGCAGCAGTTACTTCTTTTTTCCGAAACAATTTGCTTTTACTTAATTTCTAACAGGAAAAAAAAGAAAATGTGTATGCACATTTTCTATTTTTCCTCTTTGAAATTAACAGTTGGTTCTTTTTTCTTCTCACTAGATCAGTAGCATTATTTTTGATATATTATCGACGGAAATCTGATAAGATATTTTACATCTACTGTGATTTGCCGTCTTTTTTTTCTGAATATAATCGGTTGATTAATTAATTTTCAGTGAAAAGGTTCATTTTACCTTTTCGTGGGGAACACATTTGAGTGACGAACAATTTGAATGGGTCTTCCAATTGTTTGTGACTAATATGCGCGTAATGTATCAGATCTCTCAATGGGGTTACGATGAAGTGAGCAAAAAGCAAGAATTTCGAGCCACAACATCGAGGTATTTGCAAAATACAATCTAAAGAATAATTCATAGAATAGAAATCTCTATGTTAAAGTAAAACTTTTTGAATTGGAACAGAAAAACATTCGAATAATTAATTTGATTGTTTCCGAACAATATGAAAAGATTTGCTGTTGTTTAACTAACTAGAATTCAAAAAAAATGAAATTAAATTAAATGGATACCTTATTGGCTGAAGGAGAGGGTAATATTCCCATACCTTGGGGAAATAATCTAAAACGTATTGGACTATGGAGTGAAATCTATTATCATCATAAACTTTGTTATCGTGTATCATTATCTCAAACTTTATCATTTTTTAGTGGATAGTAAATGATATCTTAGAATATGCTGCTTACAGATATATCATTGCGAAAAATCAAAACGATAAACCGATTGCTTATTTGCATTATCGTTTTGATATTGATTTCGATTCAGCTGTGTTATATTGGTTAGTCAATATTAACATTTATTTCAAAGATAATGAAATACATCACATACATTACAATTAACATTTTTTTTCATATTTATCTAGTCATAAAGGGACATGTTATTCATAAGTGAAAACCATATTTTGCAAAATTTTTATAATCCCAAATAGCATTCCATGTGTTATATAGCTGAAATAGAGCAGTTGTCTGGAACGTATAATTTAATTTTACTATTGATATATTGGGAAATCCTTTGCGATACGATCTCAGCATTAGAAAAAAAAAGGTTGGAAGAAATAGCGTAAAAATGCTTGTCTTGCCGTGGTTTTAATTTTCGAAATTTGAATGTAAAATTTTTTTCTATTTGCGAAGAAATCGCCTACTATCCGCAGAATTTTATTTCAGTTATGAGATACAGGTGGAGAGTGCATATCAGGTTAAAGGTGTTGGATCAGCTCTTTTGTCCATTGCTGAATGTCTTGCAAAGAAGTAATTCTCATTATTTTATGTGTTCAACATTTTTTCTTTTTTTAATACGAGGAGATAGAAGGGAAAAAATTCTTCAAGTCGTTAGCTGGCACCGAAACTAAAAATTGGATATTATTATATTGGACTCAAAATTATGGGATTTTCGGAAATCTAAAGAATTAATAAAAATAAAGATGTGTTGACATTATAGTAGCTTATGCTGCGCGCAAGTTCTTAGTGAGTCAGTAATTTTCAAAAACCTCTGAATTCTTATATAATAAAAGTGGCAAGTATTATTCGGGATAGGTGAAAGTACCTCTCAATAACGTTAAAACATGGCATTAAATACTGCATAACATTAGCTGATATTAGATTTATTTTCAAGTTCCATCGTCGTGTGCGATTCTGAGTTAGTGAACTAGCATTAAATTTAATTTGGACAATTAATCATTAAAGTCAGATTTTTGTGGTAATGAATTTTTGATATACTATGATCTCAGTGATTTCAGGATGTCAATGGATAAATTAATGGCTACAGTGTTTGCATTTAATGGAAATTCGCTTGCATTCTTTCACAAGAACGGCTTCAGTGTTGATCCATCATGTCCGGACGATGGTGATTATGTGATTTTATCAAAACCACTATCTAATTGACGATCTCAACTGGTACAATTATAGTTTCATTTTTTTAAAAAATTCATTTTGTCTTCAGGTGCATATAAACCTTGTTTTTGTTTTATTATATTTGGCATAATTTACTTTTAGTTAAAAAGGAGAACAAAGTTTAATAACTTGCTACAATTTAAATAAAAAAAGCATATTAATAAAAAACATCGAACCCAGGATATAGAGCACCTTAAAAAAGGTACTGCTTATATATATATGGAAATGACATAACCGTGCAATCAGTTGCAAAAAAATGCTTTAAGTATTAGGAAATCCTAGACTGTTCTTCTCGTTCACATCAAATTGATCCTATAGTCGAAATACGAATACTGATAAAAAACAAAAAACAGAGAAGTTCCTGAAGGAAGTGACAACTAGCTTATTAATGACAGCATTTGAAGTGGACTCAGGATTAACTTAGCATGCAAGTACAAATATTTAGCTACGTAATGTCTAAATGGTTAAATTAGGTTACTATATGTCATTGATTCATAGCTGAGATCGCACCTTCCTAAATAATCAAATTGCAACTATTGCAACTTGAGTGTTTAATGTATTTCAAGTCGTAAAATTTGTGCATTTGGTCAATTTATTTACTTTTGATTGATTGATTTCAATGTTTTGCTCACGCCTTTTATTTCGAGTGCATTGATATTCACTTGTGTTTTAATAGTAAATCGAATAATAATTATGATTTTGCGCCTTACCTCAATCATCTTCAATTTAACCAAATTTCGACAAAATTATTAATTACGAGTTGACCTATTTGATATGTCATCTTTTTGAAACTACTGTGCGATAAATACAGATTCATTCTTCACTTATTAAAGATTATTTAATGTCTGGTGACTTTTTGCCTTACATAATTTCCATGTTTTTGCCTCTTAAATCCTGAAGAGAAGTGTTAATTAGCATTAATACTATGAATGCTAACTCATTACAAAATTCTATTAACTTCCGTAAAAGAAGGAAAAAGACCAACTCACGAGAGTGAGTAAATTGTAAGAGATATCCGGGAATTGGATATTTCTTACATTTCGTTTTATGTGAACTATGATCGGGAAACTGTCCTATCCTTTAATTTGATAGGAAAAACTTCAGTTTCGTTAATCATTGACCCAAAAAGGTTTTAAGTATTTGTTACAATTCTCGAAAGACTATTAATTGATTGATACGGTAACATTATCAGAACAAAATGCTTACACAATTATATTATCGAAACAAAGATAGAATGATTTTGGAATATGTTGCTGAATTAATTTATATTTTCTCAATAAAATGCAATTCTTTTTTGCAATTCATTCTGACACATTGCATATAGGTATACACACACGGACACACACAGACAGACAGACACACATACACACACAAATACACACATACGGATAGTACCACTTTGTCCTCTTCTGGTAACAAAATGTCCCAATTTCGAGGATTCTGAGCAAAAGTTGACGGCTTCTTGTTGAGAAAAAGTTCACTGTACCCGCTTAATCACCGTAATCGAACCCTAATCACTGTTTCCTTCCCGGAGCAAAAAGGTACTGCAGCTGCGGTGGTACAGTAGGAAGCAAATTCTCCGGTATACTGTAGTTCTTGGCAAATTTTAGAAGCTGGAAATATAATGAATGCATATATAATAAATAAGCAAAAAATAAATATGTGTGATATTTTTAAGAAAGTGTAACCTAATTTTCAAGTTTTTTTTTCCACTTTTCTTTTTATTGCCATGTTCAAGTCATAAATATTTTGCAAAAATATTTCCATCATATCAAAAATTTTTCTAGTTCCTTCAATTTTTTATTTCCTAATAAATTGATCAACTAATTAATTAAATCTAATTTAATAAGATAATTTTAATAAACCTGTTCTTTGATAGCATCCAATGCACCACCTGTATTTACCCATCGCTGCAACCTTTGCAAATTATCAATACCAATGGTTCGATCGATGTGACCTAGCAATTTAGCTTGACTATCCAATTTTTCGCTACCCAGTGCAACCTAAAATTCAGAATTATTGATGTAATTATCTATAACAATATATTTAAATATGAAAAAACAGTAAGATTTATTACGGTACAAATGGGAGACGTTGCGTACGATAATGGCATGCCGTATTCCTAATTGCACCAATTGATATAATTAATTGGTGTTTGATTATCTTACAAAATACATTTCTCAAAAAAAAAGTATAAAATATGAATCAACCCATATTTTATACTCTTTTTTGAGAAATGTATTTTGAAATCAACAGCTATTTCAATCGATAAAATTATGAAGAAAAATTATAATTTAATAATTTTCATAAATTTCATAAAAAATATAAAATTTACTTCCAAAATATCAATTGCAGCGGATTCAATCGGTGTACCCTGCTCAAAATGATTGATCGCCTGGTTGAAACCAATATCTGCCTTACTTAGAAAATTTAATAGTGCAGAAGGTTTAATCTAAAAAAAACGACAGAATTGTTAACTAACTTTTAAAGAGAAAATAAAATTCTAAAGTTTCAAAATAAAAATCAAGGAATAAAATTTTTAATTCAAGAGGGAAAATGAAAAAAAAATGATGAGATTTCGTATAATTGAAATTATTTATCCGACAAAAAAGAAACTGTGCAAATATTAAGAAAATTAAATTGAAATTGAATTATCTATATCACTCAGATAATTTCAATTTATATTTATGTAGTTTCGTTTATGTCGTACAGATAATTTCAGTTTATTTAAATCCAACAAATTTTTAAATTAAAAAGTAACATAAGAATGATTAATTGTTAACATCAACTTTTATAAATAATGTATAAGAAAGGCAATCAAATTAAGAGAAAATAGAAAGTGACTAATTATAATTTCCATTCAGTTGACGATAATCATGCAGCTTTTTGATCATCTTAAACTTAATTTTTGTTTAAGTTTTTTGCTGTATTTCAAAAATTAGATCAGTTGGAACTTTTCATCAGATATTCTAATTTCATGATGTTTTACATATCATTATAAGATTGAAAATATTGGCATTTTTAAACAAACTTGAAAACAAAAAAAAGCGAACCGTTGTAGGCGGATTTTGCGTTTTAAGGAAACGATCTGATAATGTGGGTATAATGCCGGCTGCAGCACCACCAATTCCAACTGCTGGTACCGGCGGTGGTATAGCTGCACCGGATGGAATTGGGGGACCAAGACCATCACCGGTTGGACCAATTCGATTTGGTGTTAATGCCGAATCACCGGTGAATATCGATTCTTTGATTTCATTACCTTAACAATATGTTATTGCACGAAAATATATAATATATGCAGTCCAATTAAGGAATTAAAATTTTTAACTATAATCCTATACTTTTTTATATTCAAGACTTTGATAAAACTTTTTTTCAAAAATAAATTTATATTTCGAATTGAAAAAAAAAAAAAAAAA